CTTGTTCCAGTTACTACTGGTGCTGGTTTTCTTGCCACTGCTGTAGTCTATCTTCTTGTTTATTTTCTCGTTCTTCTTGTTTCTTTTCTTTTTCCTCCAGCTGCTGTAATCTCCCTTCTTGTTTATGTTGCTGTTCGAGCTGTCAATGTTGCAGATTTTCTTACCACTGCTGTTGTTTCTTTTCTCGTTCTTCTTGTTTCTTTTGCTGTTCTTGTATTGCTGCCATCAAATCTGCTAAGCTGTACTTTGGTTTGCCACTTTTCGTTTCCATCTTCTTCTTTTTTTCTTTTAAATCCCACTTCTGACATCAATTTGTTACGTATCTGCCCGTTTGTTAATTTTCGGTATAAATTATTTCCGAGGAACTTTAGTGATACAAGTCCTTAATTAAAACTAATTTATTCTTTCTTGATGCAACTTTTTTCCACAGCCACTTTAAACTTAACCACCTTTATAACATACGCTATAAATCACAGTGATTCACACACTTTACTTACGGTGTCTACTGTTCGCTTGACTCAGTTATCTATCTTTTCATTCTATCTGCATTCAAATTCGGTGACGAGGAACCCACTTTGAGACCAATAATGGCTGAAGACGGCTTGAATGTCGAAACGTTGTACATTTGCTGTTATGTTAAACTTATATTAAAGTTTTTGTTCATTACCCATTCAAGCCGTCTCCAGCCATTATTATTCTATCTGCATATCTATTTCTCGCTGGCCTTATTTGCCAGGCTTATATACTAAAAAAGAGGGCACCTGGCAAACACTCGGATATTCGCGGAGTACTTCGATAAGTCCGGATCCTTCTAGAAACTCCAGCGCGCATGCTCCCAGCGTTGCGTGACTGCCGTTGTCGTAACACTATATTGAAGTCTGCTATAGCATACAATACGAGGTGTTATTGATATATATATAAGACTGCTATAGTCTACAATATGAGGTCTTATTGATATAATGAAGTCTGCTATAGTATACAATATGAGATCCTATTGTTATATTGAAGTGTGCTATTGTTATATAATATGAGATCCTATTGTTATATTGAAGTCTGCTATTAGTGTACAATATGAGATCCTAATGGTATAGTGAAGTCTGCTGTTAGTATACAATATGAGATCCTATTGTTATATTGAAGTCTGCTATAGTATACCATATGAGGTCTTATTGATATATTGAAGTCTGCTGTTAGTATACAATACGAGGTGTTATTGATATATTGAAGTCAGCTATAGTTTACAATGCGAGGTCCTATTGTTATATTGAAGTCTGCTATAGTATACAATATGAGATCCTACTGTTATATTGACGTCTGCTATTAGTATACAATATGAGGCCTTATGGGTGCATTGAAATTTACTATATGTCCATCAACAGTAAAGACGAACCAGACTGACTGACTGACTAGTATCCATCAACAGTCAAGACGAACCAGACTGTCTGACTGACTAATATCCATCAACAGTAAAGACGAACCAGACTGACTGACTGACTAATATCCATCAACAGTAAAGACGAACCAGACTGACTGACTGACTAGTATCCATCAACAGTCAAGACGAACCAGACTGTCTGACTGACTAATTTCTATCAACAGTAAAGACGAACCAGACTGACTGACTGATTAGTATCCATCAACAGTCAAGACGAACCAGACTGTCTGACTGATTAGTATCCATCAACAGTCAAGACGAACCAGACTGTCTGACTGACTAATATCCATCAACAGTAAAGACGAACCAGACTGACTGACTGACTAATATCCATCAACAGTAAAGACGAACCAAACTGACTGACTCTTGTTTAGGAGCAGATGGTTGCTGTACCGCATGTCAGCTAGATTAATTATCTTCTGGGGGAAGAAGCAGGTCTACGTAAAACAAGTCATGTCTTTAGTAAATCCAAATATTGATAAGGATTAGAAATAAATAAAACCTCCGTGACAGTTCTACATTTTTATCTTATTTTAATAAGAAAGTTTTGAAAGTTTATAAAATGTTTATTGAAAGGAATCGAACGGAACGAAATAAAACAAAAATATTAATAATTTGGAATAGGTAGAGTTAGATTAAGTGTTTCGTTTAAAAAATAGTTTTAATTAGATTAATAAAGTCTCACAATGGGCTATTTGTACTGTGCTCACCAGTAGTAACGAAATCCAGTTTTTAAATGTCTTACCGCCGAGCTACTAGTATGTAGGTGGGACAGCGGTAAGCTCGTGGATTTACAAAGCTAAATTCCGGAGCTCGATTCCCCCCGGTGGAAACAGTAGGTAGCCCAATGTGGCTTTGTTTCGAACAAACAAAGAAATTGAGCCACTGTAAATTAAACATTTTGAAGGTTAAATTTTAAATTTTATTTTCTGCATCGTAAACATCAGCCTTTTTATTTCGTAAATATATCTTGAAAAGACGTAGATACCTCAAATTTCGAGTTTTACCATGAATGTATGTGTGTGTGTGTATTATTGGAAAATTAAACAGTTTGTACGAATTTTATAGCTAGTAATTATTCTTCTGACGACTTTACAGTTATTTTCTGTGTCAAGTTTTTGCCCAAGTTACAATAACTGTGTATAATACCCGATATTGGTTTGTTTGTTTTTGCATTTCGGGCAAAGCTACACGAGGACTATCTGCGGTAGCCGTCCCTAATTTAGCACTGTAAGACTAGAGGGAAGGCAGCTAGTCATCACCACCCACTGTCAACTGTGGGGCTACTCTTTTACTAACGAATAGTTGGATGGACAGTCACATTACAACGCCCCCACGGCTAAAAGGACGAGCATGTTTGGCGTGACGGAGATTCGATCCCGCGACCCGCAGATTGCGAGTCGAGCGCTCTAACCACCTGGCCATGCCGGGCCACCCGATATTGGAATGTATGTTTCGCTATCCATTTCTCTCACTGATGTCTCCTACAGTGGAGTCGAAGGTTCATGGTTTGAACCACGATATAAACTCTTCGTATTTTCAGCTATGTAGGCGCTATAACCGTGATAGTTAAATTCGGTTATCAGTTACATTGTAGGCGGTGGGTGTCGAGTGGTGTGAAACTAATGTTTTTGATTTCAAATTTTAAATAATATTCCAAAAATAAATCAGAAACAAAACTAGATAACAAGCTAATTCTGCTGACGTATTTTATCCACTAGGATTTATCTGCCTGATACTTTATAACCAATATAGCAGATTCAACATCAATGCTTGATCTTGTTTTCGTTGTCACCTTTAGTCCCGTCCGTTGAACAACAAAAATAATTTCTCGCATTCTGGTGGCTAATCGGTAAGCTTCAAAGCTTATAACACTAAAATTCAAGGTTCGATCCACACTGAGCTGATAAAGAAGGTAGACATTATTATCCACCATGTT